CTTTTAAGAGGGCGATGATGGTGGTATGTTTGATATGATAACAAAGTTTTGAAAAGTATGTATGTTATGTGTTGCAGGGAATTGAGCCTTATAAAATTTACCCCTGAAATGAAATAGTTAAATTGCCTCAGTTCGAAATGAAACCAACTTTCACAACTCTACTTCTTCTGTAAAACTATTTATATGGTAGATTGATCAGTGAATGTACAATAGAAAACACTTGTCACATATTTAAAACCTTATCTCATGAAGGAGTGTAAATATTTTTTTCCAAGTATGATTTCTTCAAACATTTGCAAGTAATAAATATACTCTTTTCTCTAACCTCAATTGATACAATCTGGCATGCTTTTCATTACATATTCCAATTAGCATGAATTGAAAACGAATTTCAACTAGCATAAATTACACTTACAACACCTTGGTATCTTAAAAATATGCATGAAACCATTACGACTAACATTGCAATCCACCAAACAAATCTACACAGCCAAAACCCATCAAGAAAATCCTCCAAGAAAACAGAAGAAGAAACAAACAACCAATGTTGCTGACAAATCCACCAAAAGAAGATAATAGATAGAGGACACCGAAAGAAAAAACAAACAATACAAAAATCCTTGTCACAGGTATCGAGGAACAAAGAGAAAGAAGAGGAGATTTATCGAGCAAATGTGGAACGACGACGAGTGGGTGACAGGAAAATAACCAAGCAAATGCAGGATGAGGATGAGCGGGGCACATGATAGGACATGAGAGAGGAGTAGATTAGGACAGAAGATGCGAAGGGCACCCAAGTTAAAATATTGCGAAGAAACACGGGTCACGGGGTCGAACCTGTGGCTCGCGTTTTCATTAAAACACGGAAAATCTCCCTTAACCAGTTTAATACTTCACAAGTTATAAATTTCACAAAATCTCTCAAGCTGATCTCAAACATTTCACTGTTTTATAAGCATATTTTGTATGTAAGAGATGAACAGAGTTGAATAGACAATAAATTCTCTTTTAAGAAATACGTTAAAGTTCTCCATTTTCTGCCGTAAATACCTTTTATATCTATCCGGACTAAAACACTTATATTTCTTTTTTGTATTATCTCTCTTTCAGTGGTCTCATGATATATCCATCTCTCATCCTATTAAAAATTAGTGAACAAGAAAAGTTCAAATTTTAGGAGAATATCATAATACTTCCTATAGGTTTCTTCTTAGTTACATTTTGATTTTACTTCAAGTATACAGTCTCTCTCTCTCTCTCTCTCTCTCTCTCTCTCTCTCTCTCTCTCTCTCTCTCTGGGAGAGAGAATATATATACATATAGAGTGTGAGAGAGAGAGATGTGTATAAATATTGCCTATTTCTTAGGGAAGTATTAAGTTCGAACAATCAGAAGTGTTGTCGTTAGCATGGATTCCACCATGTAGTGTGGTGTGATTCATGCTAATGTTTAAAATCAAATTTTTTATTATAGTTAAATAAAGTTGAGGGGACAAGATTTGCATGCAAAACTTCGGAAGGATTGTTCTTTTTCCGGCTTAATAGGCTGTAAATTTTAGACTTTTAATCGCTTCATCCTAAAAAGCTAAAAAAGCATATATAAATCAGGAAAAAGGTAATTAAAGATGAGGAATAATAAGGAGGCACAAGTAGTACCTGGCTGGCAACTTAACTTTTGTTGTGAAATTTCTTTGTTCTCTGAAACGTGGTGAAGAAGCATTTGCTTGCATTCAGCATTAGGTTTTAAAGTTTGGTTTTTTGTTCTAATCGAAAACCATCTTTCTGTTGATATTATTTGGCTCACACCACTATCTGCTCAGCAATTTGATCAAATCTTAAGCTCATTCATGGTTAGTTTGTTTAAGATAGAATTTGAAATATTGGTATCTACAAGTCTAGTCCTCTTGTTGGTCCATTTTTCAAATTTATTTACCAAGATTAATGATAAACTCCCAACCCATATTTTACAATTTTTTCAAAATTTCAATGGTTTGATCATGGCATGGATAAATGTATTGGTTCGGCAGTTCAAAAAAATCAAAAGAGTGGTAATTTTATAAATATCATTTTTGAATGATGTGTATGCAATAATCCATTTGAGTCTGAAAGCCTAGCACTCGCAGCAGATCCACTGCAGAGCGACCCGAGCAGCACCACCCTCTACAGGAGGCGGAGTGTTCACCCCCTCTCTAGAGGAAGGACCCAATCATCCTATGCAAGTCCAAAGTGGTGAAGGAGCAAACTCCTTCCCCAATCACCTTGTTCTGCTGGGAGGGAAGGGGTAGCAGTCCCAGAAGCATCAATCGGAGGAGGCTCATGGGCGGGCCCCTTAACCGTTGCCCCTGGCACCTCTAGCAGTACTGTCGTAGCAGCAAGTTCCTGCCTTAGACCCTTTGTCAGCACAGAAGACTCCCGTGTGGAAGTCAATAGCTCGCCTATTTATCTTCCGGACGGGTCATTCCCATCGATTGATGCTTCTTCACCGGGAAACCACTCTCTCTCATTTGAGACCTTTCTTTAGGGCACTCCATTGGTGAGCTGGACAAGCCCACTTCGTCTCCCGGCTCAGAAAGCCTTGCCTCAGTCCTAGAAGCTTTTTGAGTCTCTTGTCCCTTTGCTTCATAACCTGGAAGACCTTCTTTTTGGCATCCTAACCAAACTCGACTGACTTGGAAGGGTAACCACTCTCAATAATCACTAACGATAGAGATAATCACTAACGAAGAAAATAGAAGAGATAAAATCCAATTTTGTCTTCAGTTCCTCCCCCCCATTTATAGGGGTCTAGCACAAAATTCTAGGAGAATTTAGTTATTGCGCATTTTATAATCATGAATTCCCCTAATTGTTTGAAAAATAAGGTTCTCCTATTCTTATCGTATATCGTAGTTGTGGATATCAAGGACTAAGCAAACCAAGTAACTTAAATATATACAACAAAAATGTGTCACTAAGAATATCTAAGAAATCCAAAAGTCAGCAAAGATGATGATGTGGTGAGCTAAGACCCACTAGGTGCAATTTAAGAGCCAGCATTTATTTTGCCCAGCTCGCATTTATTTTCACGACTCTTGCTGACCGAGAAAAATCTAATTCCATGACAAATGAAAGTCAACAATCCTTCTAAAGAATCACCGGAATGGACCTCACACAGACAATCCGACAAAACTCCTCATCTAGGTCGGGCGGATGACAAAAGTTGATCGAATCTTAGACAAGCGACTGGCACCTCCCGGTCAATCCTTCGATCATGGCCACCTGAATCATAGACCGGTTGGACGCCATTTTACGCTCGCGACCTTACAAATGTGTATTTGCCCAAAATACCCCATAACTATAAATGTAATCTTAAGGTTCTTATTTTTATAAATAAGGGCTCAATTCATAAATAAATATTATATGATTTTATTGCTCATTATTGTGCTTTCTCAGCTCTTTTCTTCGTTTTCGTGTTTTATTCCTTAGGTGTGTCTCACAGACAGATTTAGATTCAACAATACAGATACATATGTTGGACCTAGATTTGTCTGTAGATCACACTCATGCAATGTATGTAGAGAAGAGAGAGAGAGAGAGAGCGAAGGAAAAGAGTCATGCTACAAAATTAGTAATATTTAGCTTCTTGAAAAAAAAGTGTCATTTATATGTTATTGTTGCTATATTTAAAATAAATAAAAGTTAAATTGTGAAATATCAATAATGTCATTGAAATTCTCTGTTGTTGGTTGGTCAAAGTAACCGACAAGATTACTATCACTATGGCGGAATATGTTCTTGTTGGATTGTTATTTCGTCTGCCCTTAGCATGGAGAGCTGTTTGTTTACTTTTCTGATTGGTCTTGTCGGTTCGTTCGACTGGATACTTTGCTTGTGCTGACTTGTGGCCCTTTACTTTCATCGAGGTTAATCATTAACACATGCCTCATCCTGCACAGTGGGATCCGATTCAACATACTTTGATCATACAATATACATATATATACACCCGCACACATGCGCATGCACACACACACAGATATATATATAACTGAAATCGTTTAAATTTAATTAAGTACATAATCCATAACTTAAGAGTTCTTACGATAAAAAAAATTTAAAAAAATACAACTAACAATATTTTATTCTTTAAGGCTTACTGGAAGCACATGTGCTAAATTACATTTTTTATTTGTTTTGTGGAAGGAATATCTTGAGACATGTATCGTGCATTAATTAGATCATTAATTAGCTCATTAATTAGCCTTTTGTAAGTTCTATTTTAGAAGAGAATGTCGAGCTACTTTCAATGAATTAAAATAAAAGTATTTACCTAATATTAGGTGCATTTTTTGTTAATTTATTATTGGTGCATTAAATTACAAAAGATGGGCATATATTTTATATAACATATTAATTATAAACCATAAAAAACAAATTTATATATAAAACATATGTTGGGCCCTTAAATGTTTGAAATTGACTCAAGTTAAGTAGAAAAAATAGATTTAGAGTGCTGGATTCGATCGTATTCCAATTTTGTTCAATAGAAGATTTAGAATCATATGACCTCATCCACTATTATGATTTAAACTAATATGAGACAAACACGATTGAACAAAGAGTTATGCAAGTTCGATTAGTATATAATACAAGTTTAAGAAATTTTTTTCATATTTGCTTTATTTATTTATTAAATAATTCAAACATGAGTTACTTAACGAGCAGAACAAGCGCTATTCTTAAGCAACTAAGATAGGACCTTAAGAATCCAAAATACTTCACAAACATGAAAAATATGGCCGTTGCCCGCCAATCAAACTCATATTCTTATCAAAACTGTATAAATACTTCCATATATAATGCAACTAAAATGAAAAGATAATACAGGAGGCCCACATCCAGCGAAAAAAAAGAAGAAAGGTTGCCACCTTCCCCTCTTCTTTCTGGAATCATCTCCATACTTATAATTATATTATGTTAATTTAACCTCCATTATTAAGTAGGAGAATATCTTGAATTATTATCGTTCTGTCAAAACTAATCATAAACCATCCTCTATATAATTCCTCCTATTCTTCTCTCTTCCGACTCACCCACTCCCAACTCAGCCCTCCGAGCTTGAAGCAAGCTGATTTTTGAAGAAAACTGAGGGGAGAAGATGCAGGCGAAGGAGGAAGATGTTAGCTTGGGAGCTAACAAGTACCCTGAGAGACAGCCGATAGGAACGGCGGCCCAATCAGAGGAGAAGGACTACAAGGAGCCGCCAATAGCGCCTTTCTTTGAGCCTGGAGAGCTCATATCTTGGTCTTTCTACAGAGCTGGGATAGCTGAGTTTGTGGCCACTTTTCTCTTTCTGTATATTACCATACTTACTGTGATGGGAGTTGTGAGCGCGAAGACTAAGTGCAGTACTGTAGGAATTCAGGGGATTGCTTGGGCTTTTGGTGGAATGATCTTTGCTCTTGTCTATTGTACCGCAGGGATTTCAGGTGTGATTTTATTATTATTATTATTTTGTTATTGTGGCTTTTTTACTGTTATTTGCCTTTACTGATCTTCACAGTAAATTTCTCTGTTTTATTTCAGTCTTTCTTCCCTGTCTTACTTACCTTTTCATTCTCTCTTGCCAACGTTCTCAGGTTAATATTTACAAACTCTCTCGTTCTCTCGATTCCTCATTTTTTTCCTCATCTACCAAAATACAACCTTTGTCTTGCAAAAAAGGGAGGTTTTTTC